GCATATTTTCTCTAGATAGTAGATAAAGTTTGTAAGACCTTCTCTCAAACTGTTTCCTAAATAATCCAAGTTATGTGATATTTCGTTCTATACAAACATAAAGCCACAATTATCTAAAACCAAAAGCATAAATCCGGAATGGTCCACAAACAATGGGCGAACTCTAGTGACATTATATATTTCACAGAAGTAGTCCAAATAATCAGGATGTAAAAGATCTTCATCTTTTCCATCTTTAACTTCATGAAACTCACGATCATTCTTTAGTTTATCTATTAATTTAGACAGATCTGGCAGTTGCGGCATGGTGGTTTTACTACTTTTTTCCATACATCTATCGTACGAGATCTGATTGGAAGATTCTGCCTCCACTTGAATAGAGCAGTTCACAGATTCATTTTTAAGCAGTTCTTGAGCTGCCATGTTTCTAGTACTGATATATAGTTAAAATAATAGTTAATAATTATAATATATGTGGAAATTTTACCTTCTAACTATATACCTCCTTGAGATGGTTTGGGTTTATCATTGTAATGTCAATTTTTGTGAAATGTTAAATTCTTAAAAGTGTGAGTCACGGTGGAATAGCCCAATAAAATCAAACATATAAATCTGTAATATTGCATAATCGTAATATATTATTTTGTCTTTTTTTAAAAAATTATATATTTAAACAAAAATAAAACAGTTGATTATTAACTTGACTGCTAGATACAATTACCTGTAAGAATCGATTACTCTACCCTTCAACTGATTACTTTTTTATCAATCTAATTGATTAATGTGGCATTTATTATTGTATATCAAGTAATTTTTTAGGTATACAATATTAGTAAATGATGAAAAATAACTATTTTAGTTTTTTCATTGAAGTTAATGTCACCCCAATGCTGCTACGAATGACATTGACTTAGTAAATTGCAATTTATAATACAATAACTAAAGTGAAATTATATCATAAGATAAAAATTAGGATACGTATCACTTCATCGACAAGACATAATATTTCATCGACAAAAATTTACTGACAATCTATTTCACTGAAGTTAAAGATGAAAAAGATAAAAATCTTTTATATCCTAATTATTTGGACTACTTCCGTGAAATGTATAATGTCACTGGGGTTCGCCCATTGTTTGTAGACCATTCCGGATATGTGATTTTGATTTTAGATGATCGTGGCTCTATGTTTAGATGGGTCAAGATGTCACATGACTTTGATTATTTGGGAAACAGTTTGAGAGAAGGTCTTACAAACTATATCTACCATCTGAAGAAAATATGT